TATATTTTATTTGGGTTATGTATCATTTTTTTTTATCAATTATGTATCATTTTTCAATTATGAATTAAGTATGGATACTTTTTTTCCCACAATGGCATGGATAATGTTAGATTTATCAAAAAAGAAATGGGAAAATAAAATAAAAATGATACAATGCTGGTATAGTGATATTCTTTGTCTTTCCTTTTTTCATAAAAAAAATTAATATTCAATCCACGGCATTTGATAAATTTTTTGTCTCATTTTTTGGTCAAACTAATATTAATGACTCAAAATTTGTGTGAATTTAAATTTGAGTAAAAATAGACTAAAAATAAGTTTCAGTATTTTACTCAAATTAATACATATGTCAAGAACCTATATATGACATGACTTGTTAGCACGAATAATAAATAAATTAGGTTAGTGTCAAACACGAATAACACGAATTGACAGAATTAACACGTTTAAATAGTACTAGTAATGCACGATGTGCAACAACACGTGAAATTTTTTGTTGAAAACATATAAAAAATCTAATTATATTGCTATATTAGATATTATTTCATATTTATCATACTTAAATTGTTTATATTCTCTTCATAATTATAAACATCCAATAAACTTATTTTTTATAATTCTTCCATTTGAGCTATCAAGTAGTAATACTTATAATTTTTTTTTCTTTTTTTCTTTCTTAATTTTACTTTATGCATTAGTAATTTTTTACCAAATTATTTTAATTGTAAATAAATAAATAAGATAAATATATCCTTTTTTAGACATTGTAGATGATATTGTATCAACGGAGTTGTCAACCTGTATTAAAATTAGGTTTTGAAAAAAAAAAGAATAATGTTATTTTTGTATATCATGTCAAGTATAACATAATCGTTCAAAAGTTTTGAAAAGATAGATAGATTTGTATAATATATTAGAGATTAGTTTGTTATTTAAATATAAAAAGATATAATAATAATTTGTATAGTAAAATACAAGAGGACATATTAGCCTTTATTACTTTTTATAAAGTAAAAGAGTGAATTAAATTTTTTTTCATGTTAAAGTATTTTTATTAGTAGTATAGATTATAAGAATAAAAATAATTTTTTATTATATTTTATCAAATAGTGATTTAATTATTATATAAAAAAATAGATATATTAACTCATTATTATTATTATATTTATTTAGTTAATTTATAGTTTAAAAAAAATATGAACATAAGTTCAATTAAATAATAATAAAATTTTAGACATAAAACTAAGTATTAAATTTTTTATTCACGGATTATATGGTCAACACAAACATGATATAAGTTGACACGATTTAGTTAAAATAGTTGATTTAGAGTTTCATGATGTACAAAATAGTCTTTTACAAGATCAACAATCGAGTATGTGATAAAATATAATTAATGGACAATTAATGGAGCAATCAATGACAATAATGTAAATATCAGATCAACACGCAGATATATAGTGGTTCAGTTCGGATGATCTACTCCACTTTGAAAAAATAGTAACGGTGACAGGGGGACTTTTTATTGATTAAGTAAAATGAATGAGAGAAAACAATGATTAGCTTCGGGAGGGATATAATAACTACGAGAGAGAAAAGTTATGTGTAAAGCGTGTAGAGAGAACTTATAATTTATAGGCACAATTTTAGTTGAAGCGATGGCGTGAGGATAAATGTACTAGATCTTCAGGGAGTTTCAAAAGGTAAGTACAATTAAATGTTGCATTTGATCTTCGAGAGTAAGTATTCTAATAATTGTTCCCCACATGCTTTAATCCTTTTGGACTGCTTGAACTCTGAACTGAGCCGAATCCATAAATTGGACTTGACTCGCCTTGTAACTGATTTGAACCTAACTCATTAATTAAGCCTGACCCAATTAAATCTGAACTTGTCAAAGTTGACAAGTATTTTACACGAACCTAAAATAACTCAACATAAACACGAGTCAACCCTTTACAATTATCGCCCCTATTTGATGATTGTTTTGTTTTTAAGCCACACCATACCATAATTTTGAGTAAATACTATTTGAACCTCATTTGATGATTTAATCATTCGTGTTTATTGAATTGATAGTAGACCCCAATATTTATTGAGAATCATAATCAATATAATAGTTGTGACGAATTAAATCAACAAATTAAGTTCAAATAAAAGTGCTCTATAATTTTATCAAAATATACAATAATATGTGTTTAAACAATAACCAAACAGGATTCTAAAAAACCAATAACCAAACACTTATAATTATTGCTCGTGTCAAATGGATACAAGCAAGTGATGGTAATAGACAATAGTCCTCCACTCGGTCAACTCTCTACCACCCCAACCCAAACCCCACCCCCAACCCCAAATTTTGTAATTTCATGGATGCACAATGTGTCGTAAGAAAAATTTGTGCATGAAGTAGAGTATAAATGCTCAAAGCATGTGAACAAGTTTTTGAAAATCATCAATTGTATTTTAAACAAAAAAGGTAGTAAACTTTGACATCGTATTTTATTCATTTTTCCACTTTAAAGAGAGCAGGATTTTTTTTTTTTTTTTTTTTTGGGGGGGGGGGGGTGGGGGAGCCCTTCAACATGTAACACCCCGCATTTTCTTTTATATATGTATATAGATATATAGTAAATAATTGTGATAAAAAAATGTGGATATATGTAGTGATGTGTGTTTGAATTTGGTAGATTGGAAAAGTAGAGATTTAAAATGTTAGTGAAAATAATAGTTGAAATTTGGCTTTAATAAGTGAAAATATGAAATTTTAGGTCCTAGAACTTGTATTAAATAGGTTTGGTGTAGAAATATGTGTTGGAGATGTTTGAGATGGATTTGGTTGGCTTAGGAATGGATTGGAAATGGAAAAGAGACGAAGACAGGCCGTGAACAGTGCACATAAACAGTGCACTGCTGCAACTTCAAGCTCGATTTAGACTTTGATGCAGTCAATATCTCTCAAAACTCAAAACCTGAAAGTTTTAGAGATCTTTCGTATCATTCCATAGCATCTTGAATCATCTCAATCGGAGCTTGGATGAGAAAGTTATGCTCAGATAACGAAATGATATCGAAATAATTCAATTAGCTTCGTTTTACATTTAATATCTCAATTTGCATCCTAAATCAAAATATAAGAATAATGAGTACTTTTAGGTTTCAAATAAGTATAAAAGGCTTTAAAAAACACTCTTTATCACATTTTATTTACAAACATCGCAAAACTTCATTAATAGCCGATTCGGATAGGTAAAATAGAAACTTTAGTGTTTCAGGTGTACGTTGACTTGAGTTTTGAGATAAATCATAAAAATAAATATTTTTAGGTAAAAATAACATTAAAAATAAATACGAAACGTCGACAAACCTTAGGGTAGTCATATGGATCAAATTGGAGATTCTTAGTAGTAAAATTGTAAATTTGGAAAAAACCCAAAACAATCTGTGAACAATGTTTTTCGGGGTTGCTATGTTTTAAACTCATTTTCATCTCATTTGCTCTCATTTCCTTCACTCCCCTTACACCCCCACACCTCTTGAAACCTTAGAGGGCATTAGAGAAGAAGAAAGGAAGGGAAAAACAAGAGATTCAAGGGTGATTCAAGATCAAATATTCTTATTCTTCACTCCAAAGCTAATGATTCAAGGTAGGGGTTTTCTCTCATTCACTTACATTGAGGCTAAGGTATTTATATATGTATGTTTTGGCTATCAATTGTATATATATGCTATGGAATCATCCTGTCTTAGACTTTTTGCAAGAATTACATGTTTTGAACAAAGTAGGGTTTAATATCCATGAAATCTCTTTTTTAGTTTTAAAACCCTAATTTTTAGATAGTGATGTATTTTCTTCCTAAATGCTTTATTTATTATGGATTTTGAAACTTTAGTGCTTTGTGTTGGGTAGAAAAATGATGTTATTGTGATCTCATGTATTTTCTTAGTTGGTTGTAGAATTGTTATATGATATATTTTGGAGATTTTGGATAGATATTTGTAAATTGAGATAAATTTGAAATTGTATGCTTGGTTGGGTTGTTTATGATGCACATGAGTGAGAGGTTCCTTATAAAGATGTTTACCCCTTCCCAAGAGGTTCCCGGTAAGGATGCTTGGGAAATAATGTAGTGATTGGTGAGAGGTTCCATGTAAGGATGCTCATATATTTTTAAGAGGTTGCCGATAAGAATGCTTGAGAATCAAATGTGACCTAAAGGGGGGTGAAGGTTACCACAAAGTATGCCACCTACCGAAAGAATTGTTGAGAATTAGTTATGACAATTAATGATTATTATTTGTATGTAATACTCATTTATTCATTTAAATAATATTTTTAAATAAACTTGAGATCCTTTTTAAATATCACTGTTTTATTTCAAATTATATATCTATATTATGTTAAAATTGAGACCGACCGTTTTAAATGTTTTTCTAAACCTTGTATGGGTTTAGGAAAATTTTTCTACAGAATTTCGTACTCACCCCCTATCGCTAACATTTTTTAAATTACCCACTTGAGGAGGAGGACGTAAGAGTCGAAGAGCCCGCTACTTAAGAGACTACACTAGACGAGAGTGTAGATCCCAAGGTGGACGCATAGAGTGACCTCCTTTCCTTTTATACTAGACTAAAACATTCTTTTAAAACATTGTGTAGTCTAACTTCTTTTGTTTATTCCGCTGCGCTTCTTTAATTAATTTGAGATATAATAGTCATAACTTGAGCTTATTCTTTTAAATAATATTGTAAATATTCGTGGATAACAAATAAAATCTTGTTTCTTAAGGGATTATATTAGTGCTCTCATGATATGAATGATTTTAGAATGTAATGCCATCCAGGGTGTGTTTGGAGTGTTACAAAACATAATTGACATTTCTTCCCAATCTGATCAAAAGAACACAGTAGACTGGAGACAGTTTTAGAATATATCTGTACACACATACACAATCTATGATCTTATGTATACTTGAACCCCCTCATAAGTGCTAGTGCTGTCATTGGGCACGAGCAGTTCTAAATAACTCCTGCCACTTCTGCAGATCTCTTCCTGGTCCTTCCCCCTGCACAACTCAACAACATTTAGTTTGGGCAGATGGTAGTGCAACTCATAATGTCAACACACAGATAACTGAACTTCTACTCCAGAATACAAAACCTTTTGTAGATGCTACATAATGTTGTGCTATATATCATTCATCAATATCTTACAATTTTCAAAAGAAAAGGAATTATGACTGCTTGATTTTAACAAATAATTGGCAGACCCAGTTTAAGTTCAGCATAGAAAAAAATAATTTCGAGACAAAGGGACACAATATCACTGGCCAATACTCAAATTAATTATGTATCCATATCAATCAGTGCGAGTTTGCTTAAAAACATGTTGATTGTGTGTCCATATAAAATCAACAAAGACATTTTGTGGATCTAAAGGAAAATGAAAAGAGAACAATTAAACATGGTGTCGAACCCAGACAAGCATGGAATAGCCCCATGTAAAAGATAAGAGGAAGGATTTTATCTGCCAAAATTTGCAATTGAATGAAGGCTGATAGAGAGATGCTTATATCCAATCCATTTTGTGAGACTTTGAGCCAGAATTCATCCAGGAGTAGAATATTATAACATTTTTGCAGAAATCTAGTGTGATGAGAATAAATACAGTCCCAGAAAAAGGTATATTACATAAATGCCACCCTATCACCACACACAAGTGTCTGTCTATCCCCATGATAGGATAAGCAACCACGGTAGCACTAGAAAGTTGAAATGTGCTTGGAAAACAATTCAGCATCTAATTGGGGAAAAAAAACTCCCTTTTGCTATGTACAGTAATCAGGTTTCAACTGAACAATCCAACTTGCAACAGCTCAAATTTTGTTCATATGCCAACAGATTGAAATGATATAATCTCATGCACTGGAAGCCCAGGCACTTACTATCAATTTTTAATATAATTACCTGAACTGAGTTGATTTCATAAATTTGACCTTCAGTAAACTCTATGTCCAATGCCTGTATGCAAGCTTCTGCAACAACAAGCCTGCTAACCTCTCCGACCAATGTATCTCCTGGAAACAAAATGAAAACCATCAAAAGAGAAGATAGCAGAACATGAAAAGATAATTGCCACAACAGTCTAAAGGAAATGATGCAGACATTAGGCCCAATTCAAAATAGCCATCGCAGAAGCCTTCTTGCTAATTCTAAAGGTTATGTTGGAAAATTCCTCGCAAAAACCCTGGCCATCAGACAACAGACTACCATCCCCAAAAATCTCATTGATGGCATTCTTTTGTTCTACCATGACTCTGTCTATCTCCATTGCCATCAATTATTTCTTTCTCTAGGTTCAACGTCCCTTTTATATATACACATGTGATGTACGACCACGTGCCATAAATTTAGTTTAATTTATAATAGATAATTAAATATTATATTGGGTTTGTTAAATTATTGTTACGATGTAATTGAGACTTTCAAGTGACTTGACATTCTTGGGTAAATCACTCGTAGGAGAAATTAAGTGGAATTCTAAAAGTCTTTGGGTAAAAATAACATCAAAAAGAGATTTGGAGGGTCGAAAAATGTTAGGCTAGACGATATGGGGTGTATTAATGGTTTGGAGGTATTTCGGGTTTAAAATGCATTTTGGAGAGAATTCGGATAGGGAGAAATTTGACACTACCTTAGTAGTTATGTGTCAAATCTTAATAGTTTGGCCATAAGTTTTTACTTCAATGTCCGATTGCGCTAATTCTTGCAACATTGGAAAGTAGACTTCAAGATTTACAAAAGTGTGTTTCATTTTTATTTTGTGAATCGGTCTCTAATTAGGTCAAATCGAGCTAGAAGTCTGAGAAAAAAAGTCACCTGCGTCTTAACGCACCGAGAGTGCGCCCAAACACAACTTTGACACTGCGGGCAATCAATTTGGTCCGTCTGAATGCAAAAACACACGTCTGGACCAAAGATCAAAATCTCGTTTCGGTGTACCATTTCAATTAGCTTGGAAACACAAACATTTCGGAAACGCAATGAAAGCAGAGAAAAGATATAGAAATATGTGGAAACACGTGGAAACATAAATAAAATCCCTTTATTTATAAAGATAAGCTTAATAATTGATTGAATAAGTACGTTTATTGGGTTAACATCCACTTATATAAGAAAACATTAAGTTGAAGGAAAAAAAAAAAAGTTTGACACAAGGTGGAAGTCACTTCAACTAATTGAAATTGTGTCGTTGAATTACTAAGTAATATTATATCATTAATATTAAAATCATTGAATAAACAATTTTTGCTCACACAAATACTTAATTTTAGATATTTAATATACTATAAAATTAATTGCAAATATTTAACAAATAAGGTATATTGCTAATATAACAATTTATCAAAAACTTGAGGTCGTTATTAAATATCACCCAATTTACTTCAAAATCATATATATATATATTGTAAATCTGAGACCTACCTATTTTTATACAATTTTACTTTGTTTAGATTTGGAAAAATTTCTCTATTCAGTTAGTTGTGCTCACCCTTTTAACATTTTTCAAATTTTAGTATTGAAGATGATACAGACTTAAGTGAGCATCTAAAGTTGAATTTGGAGTGGATTGAGATGTGGATCCCACTTTTGAGGCTTAGAGATGTATTTACCAGTTTATAGTTTTAAAGTTTTGATAATGGAAACATGTTTATGAATTATGAACACTATGTAGTTAGAGTAGAGGTATTTGATTTATTTAAAGTTTTTGAGATGTAAATCTTTCTCAGTTGAATTATGTTTTGGAGGTTTTTAGCTAGATGAAGTTGGATACTGTTGTGTTGATTTATTTTATTATATTTGTAGTATGCTCTCATGATTTTAAAGGTTATTAGTTAGATTACGTTTGCTCATGGAGTTGGGGCGTGACATGTGATGTATAATAAAATGCATTTCATTTTGAACACACCTTCACTTTTTTCTTTAGCAAGAAAAAATTATATTAAATGAGAAAAAAATGAGTATTCTTTACATAATGAAAGGTATCCCTCCCAAAAGCATAAAACACCATTTAGGAACAACTAAAAAAATATATACATGAAAGCTCCCTATCCTAAACTCACAACTGTAAAACATACTGCATAAACTATGATGCAAAGTCCCAGTAAAACATACCGAATAAACGACGATACAAAATCCCACAACTAGGACGCATGAACATTTCATCTGACAAGACCACTTATCTGTGTCAAACATGGAGTGGATATACACTTCTCGTTTACCCCCGAACACATGCATGACACCCCTTTGGCTGTGCTTGAATTAAAAAATGATAATGTCAATTTCCAACAAGTGTCAACCATTATTTGGACGCTGAAGAACACGTATTAGGAAAACTTGGAAGTTGGGATATGACTTGCTCATCACATGAGAGTAGTCAGCAAGTCTCATCACATTAGCGTAGAAGAAATAAAATTAAAGATCCATAAAACATGTCAGCCAGTCTTAAATTTATTAAAAAAACAAAAAATTGTGAAACAAGAGGCATGAGAGGAGTTTTTTTTTTGGGTTGGGGAGAACAAGTGAGGACTATAGTACATCATAAGTATTTATCCTTGCTATGCTTTGTTTATAACAAGAGGTATAGTTGACAATTATGCTTTTTATAAGTTAAATATTTCCTGCTCCAGCAATAGACTTGATATTACTCTGTATATTACCCGAATAGATAAACAAATCAAATAAAGATGAAATGAATTAGTTATTGACTAGTCCTCACCATATTTATGTACCATTTTTTAAATATATGTCATGCTGGTATGATCTTATCATGTCACATCTGAGCTTATAGTCCGCCCAAAAGCACAAAGCTAATCATCAAACCAACTGATAGTAAAAACAAGCTCTCACTGCAAAGATAGCAAACAACCACAAAAAACCTACTCAGTGTAGATCACAGCAGATTCGTCCAAACATTCCACATGGTAAAAAATATTCTGCTTATCAAAAAGATATTCCAAATGACTGCCTGTTCTTTTCTCCTCCTATTTCTAAAATCCTCTGATATTTCTAAAATCCTCTGATTCCACATGCCTAAATAACATAGCTGCAACCCCCAGTCCTCCTGCTATAACTTTTAAGGATTTTCTTACACAATGTTCCACTTCTCCATTTCCAAACCATATTTCTCCAACCCAAGCCACACAAGTGGAGGACTGCTTAACTCTCCACGGAACCTTTGGATCACTTTCATAAATAGATAGCATTTCATCAAGATTTCTCTTCAGGGAACAATATTTCACCAACTATGGCCACATTAATTCCTTGACTTAATGGGCATGCTTAAGACGCGTATATTCTTCCGGTCAGGCGCATATTGTTGCCGTATGCTACAGTAAACTTCAGTCCATGTTCAAAGGATCTATGATTTGATTCAATATCTACATAGATATATAATCCACTTGGATGATACAGAACACATGGTTTAGCTTGTTTCATGTGAATAGCTGAAGATCAGATACCTTGTTGTATAACAACTGCACGACGTTCACCAGCTGTAGCTTTGAGCAGAGTATTAAGATCGTATGATGTGTAGGGGCCATCTGTCAACCTACCAGCTCTACAATAAAAAAATTCCAGCATAAGTAAATACCCAATAGCATGAAATTCATTGCGCAATATTGAAGTTTCTCTCTAGTCACCACAATAAATAACTATTGTCTCAATATCAAGTAAGATACCAAATTAGGAGTCACATACCTGATTATGGTAAACGGAAGACCAGAATCACGAACAAAGTCCTCTCCCATCTTCTTATACTTGAGAACACCAAAAAGGTTCATGATGCTATAGGTTAAACAAAACATAAAAAACCACTGGATGAGAAAATTAAAATATCTTATTAAGAAATTAGGAATACATGGGACTGATATCCACCTTTAGCTTTGCAACAAGCAAATAGAAACAACAAAACCATTGTTGTGAGTAAAGCACGTTAAAAGTATGAGTGACCGGTACAAAAACTGGAGAATATCTCTGCGAAGAACAAGAAGGATTGTGTTTCCATGCGAAGAGGAAGAAGGATTCACGGCTGCCAAAAATATTATAAATTTTAAAAAATATCACCACAAACCACTCAATTAGCGGAATCCATCTATGATTTTTTGGCGTTAATCCGATCTAATTTATTTTTCAAAATAAATTAGTTATTTTTCCGAAAACCTACCCATGCCTTTCCTTGGAAGCCTTATGCCAGTTATACTTACCCAAGGATGGCCCAGTGGTCTGGAACGAGGATCGAGAAGGTCTATGGCCTTAAGGTGCTCAGAAGTGGCTGTTTGTATAGTTTCGGCGGTTTGGCTCTCATGTTCATTCCTTGGTTGTTTTTTATGATGTTTTTGCTTGATTAGTTGCAGTTTTGAAATGGTGGTTGTGTTTCTTGCTGCATTCAGGTTAATTTAACACATTTGATGAGTGTCTGAGATTGCTGAGTTAAGATTCAAACCTAGATAAGGATGTCGGAGGACAGTTTTGCAAACACATTCACAAGCAGTAGCAAGTCAGATTGGGCTTTGGATTGAAAATCCTACCTTATAGATTATAACAACAAAGCTTGACGGATATAATCATCTTGTTTGGTCGCAGTCCACTATGATCATTGTTAAGAGCAAGAGAAATAAATTGAGCAAACATAAATTGATAATCCTCTTTATGGCAAGCGGGGGCCGAAAATCCCATGACCATGTTGTAGCTACATCACTCCATGCTGTTAGAGTATTAATACTAAGGGTAGTTTAGGCATTTTCTTTATGTTGTGTTGCCATACTATATAAGACTTACTTTGTGTATATATTTTCTCTTTCTCTTCTCTATGATCAATTTTATCATGGTATCAAAGCATGTTAAGATCCAAATATGATTAACAATACAATGGCTTCATCAAAAGGAAAGTGTAGGAGGAGAAGAGGGTTCGGAATTGCCACGGCGAAGACTTTTGATCAGATTTTCTGCCTTGGTGACTTCTTGCGAGCAGATTTTCTGCCGAACATGAAACCATATCAGCAGGAAATGGCTGTGCACGTGTTCTTCTCCTCTGCTTGATGTCTTCTGCGATTGCTGGGTTGGTGAATCTTTCTGCCTTAGTGACTTCTTGCGAGCAGATTTTCTGCCGAACATGAAACCATACCAGCAGGACACGGCTGTGCGCGTGCTCTTCTCTTCTTCTCTTCCTTCTGCCTTAGTGACTTCTTTTCTATTGTTGGTAACCATTGCAGGTCATTGCTTCTTGTTTGGGTTAGTATTTGATTTTGGACTATTGGTCTATTTGTTATTTGGATTGTTTAATTCTTGGAATACTTTTGGCTTGTTGGGTTTTGCTTTGTTGGCTTTTGGCTTGCTGGGTTTTCTAGCTAGATTGGGTTTTGATTGTTTTGCCTTGTTGACTCGCTGGTTTGACTTGTTGACTTTGGGTTGTTGCTGGAATTTACTTGAGTGTATTCTTGCAAATTATTAGTGCCCGTTCTTTGTTGATCTATGGCAAGTGGAAATTCTGATTCGCTTTAGGCAATTAGTGTGAGATTAATAGGTGGAAATTATGTTTATTCGGCTTATGTTATGAAAAAAATTTTATTGGGGAAAGACATGTGGAATTATATTAGTGGTGTTGCATAGACTCCAACTAATACTAAGGTAGAAAATTATGCTGCCTTGAAGAGTACTTGGGATATCAACAATGCGAAAATTATCACTTGGATTAATAACTTAGTTGATCAGACCATTGGGGTTCATCTATCAAAATTTAGCACAGCTAAGGAAATTTGGGATTATTTGGCCACACTTTTTGTTCAATCTAATTTTGCAAAGAGGTATCAGTTAGAGCATGAGACTTGAGATGCACGCCAGGGGGATAAAAACATACAATAATTCTACTCAGTTATGACTGACTTCTGGGATCAGCTATCACTTACTGAACCCACTGACTTGAGCACTAATTTGACATATCGTACCTTCAGAGAGGAACAAAGGCTGGTGCAATTCTTGATGACCCTTAGAGATAACTTTGAGGGACTTCGTGGTTCTATTCTTCATCGTCACCCACTCCCCTCAGTAGATGCAGTTGTTAATGAGCTCTTTTCCATTGCCAAATCAGACTGTATTGGTTGTTCTGTCCAAATTGACCTCTAATTCCCAAAACAAATATCGAGGTCGAGTTTTTCTGATGAGTGTAGCTTCTGTCGTGAAAAGGGCTACTGGAAGGCTCAATGTCCAAAGTTGATAAATAAGAATGCACGAGGGTCTCAAAATTAGTCATTTAAATCCAGAGATCGTCATACAGCGGCCATAGCACCACCAGTGGATGAGTCAGCCTCATCAGCTCCCAAACTGACTATGCTTGCAGATCAGCTACAGAAGTTTCTCTCTCTTCATCAGTCTGGTGCTCTCATAGGTTCTTCCACTATAGGTTCGTTCAGCTCAGTTACTTCAGTATATCTCGAACCGTCTGGGTTTTTGACTCAAGTGCCACATATCATATGACCAGTGACTCTTCTTTGTTTGCATCTATTGTTTCTCCTCCATCTTTATTTGTCCTTGCTGCCAATGGTTCTTAAATGTCATTAACTGGTGTTGGAACAATTATTTTTTCTAATCTTACCCTTTCAAATGTCTATTATATTCCTCAACTTACTTTGAATTTACTTTCAGTCAGTCAACTATTTGATTTTAGATTTTTGGTTCATTTCTCTTCCTCTAGTTGTGTTGTGCAGTATCCAGGGTCCAAGAAGCTGATTGGGACAGGCTGTAGAAAGGGCGGGTTATATGTGTTGGAGGAGCTTCATGTCCCAGATGTTGTTGCTACTGCTTCTATTGTTGATTTATCTTCATTTCGTTTGAGTCCAGAGTCATCTAGTTTTTATTTATGACATTCTCGTCTCTGGTCATGTTACTTATTCTCATTTAAAAATTTTAGCTTCGACAGGTAGTTTGGGTAATTTAGCAAGCCATGACATTTCTGATTGTAGTGGATGCAAGTTGGCTAAATTTAGTGCATTGCCATTCAATAAAAGTGTTACTTGTTCTCTTGCACCATTTGATCTTGTTCACTCTGATATATGGAGACCGGCTCCTATTCCTACACAAGGAGGGTCCGAATATTATGTTTCATTTATTGATGATTACACGAGGTATTGTTGGATATTCTTGATGAAACGTCGGTCTGAATTCTTTTCCATCTTCACTACATTTCGTAATATGGTACGCATTCAATATTCCGTAGTCATTAAATATTTTCGGTGTGATTAGGGAGGTGAATATACTCTTACTTCTTTTCATGATTTGTTAAAATCTGATGATACATATTATCAATCCTCTTGCACTGACACACCTGAGCATAATGGTGTTGATGAACGAAAACATCGTCATATTTTAGAGACAACAAGTTCTCTTTTTTTATCAGCACATATTCCCAGCTCATTTTGGGGGGAAGCAGTTTTGACAACAGTTCATTTGATCAATACCATTCTTATTATTCTCACCTCTGGAATCTCTCCTTTTGAAAAGTTATGTGGTAAACCACCTAACTATTTTTCTTTAAGTATGTTTGGTTGTCCCTGCTTTGTTTTGCTCCCTAGTGTTCTTCGTACCAAACTTTCTGCCAGTTCAACTTTATGTGTATTTCTAGGTTATGGTGAGGGTCAAAAAAGGTATCGTTGCTATGATCCCATCACCCACAAACTTTATGTCTCTCGTAATATTTTTTTTATGGAACATATTCCATTCTTTTCAATTCCATCTAGTTCTTCCTCATTGAATAAATCTGACTTGCTATATATTGATCCCTTTCCTATTAATATTCCTCATAACACATGTTAGTGATATACTTGTGTCAGATCCTTCATCTTCTGAGCCGACTATTACTCGTCCCCCTATTGTGCATACATATGTTCGCAAGACTCCAGTTATCTCCTCTCCGGATGCAGTGCCTCCCCTTTCTCCTCCGGCCGCCCAATCCGGTTCAGACACTGTGGATCATACACCACGCTATCCTCAGCGCTCTCACAAATGTTCAGACAGGTTTGGTTGGAGTAATACTTGTTATTCTTCTGACTTTTGTTCTTTTCTTACTTCTATTTATTCTCTATTTGAACCCACCTCCTACAAAGAGGCTTTACTTGATCCACTTTGAAAACAGACTATGGATGAAGAGTTGTATGCCTTACATAAGACCAGAGCCTGGGAGCTAGTGCCTTTACCGCCCGGTAAACGCACCATTGGTTATAAGTGGGTTTATAAGATAGAAAACCAAGTCGGATGGTTCTGTAGAACGATATAATGCTTGATTAATAGCCAAGGGGTTTGCTCAGGAATATGGTCTAGATTATGATGAGACTTTTGCTCCAGTTGCCAAGATGACTACTGTTCGCATCATGATTGCAATTGCTGCCATTCGACAATGGAGTTTGTCTCAAATGGATGTGAAAAATGTATTTCTACATGGAGATTTAACTAAAGAAGTTTTTATGACACCTCCCCCTGAATTTTTTTATAGTTCTGGTCAAGTATGTCGACTTCATCGTGCCTTATATAATCTTAAAAAGGCTCCCAGGACATGGTTTGCCAAATTTTCTTTAGTTATTTGTGACTTGGGTTTTCGCGCCAGTAAACATGATTCTGTTCTCTTTTTGCGGTCTACTTCCTCAGGTTCTATTATTCTCTTACTATATATTCATGATATGATTATTACAGGTGATGACACTGTTGGCATATGCTTATTGAAAACCCAGTTGCAGGACCATTTTGAGATAAAAGATTTAGGATAGCTTAGATATTTCTTGGGTATTGAGATTGCTTCCTCTCTCAAAGAATTTCTTCTCTCTCAGTCCACGTATGTTTCAGTTGTTATTCAATGAGCTCATTTTTCAAATAATCGAACAGTTGGCACACCTTTAGAACTCAATGTTCGTTACTCTTCGTCTAACAGTACTCCCTTGTCTGATCCAACCCTCTATCGAACTATTATTGGGAGTTTAGTATATCTTACGGTCACTCGTCTGGATATCTCTTATGTTATTCACATTGTGAGTCAATTTGTTGCCTCACCCACCACCGTTCACTGAGCTGCTGTTTTTCGCATTATTCGACATCTCCATGGTACTCTACACCAGAGTTTACTATTTCCTCACTCTTCATTTATGGAACTCAGGACATACTCTAATGCTGACTGGGCTGGTGACTCTATGGATCGCAAGTTTACCACTGGTTTCTACCTGTTTCTTAGGGGTTCTCTTATTTTCTGGAAAAACAAGAAACAAACTGTTGTTGCTCGTTCTTCTGCTGAAGCTGAGTATCGTGCTATGACATCTACTACAGCCAAGATAGTCTGGTTACGATGGCTCCTTGCTGATCTTGGTATTTCGGTATCATCTCATACTCCTATGTTCTGCGACAACACCAGTGCTATTCAAAGTGCTCATAACTCGGTCTTCCATGAGCGCACAAAACACATTGAGATTGATTGTCACTTTGTGCGTCATCATCTACAGCAGGGCACCATCACTCTCCCCTTTCTTCCTTCCACAATGCAAATAGCAGATTTTTTTACGAAATCTCATACCATAGCACGTTTTAGATTTCTTTCTTGGCAAACTCTTGATGTTTTCTACCACATCATGAGTTTGAGAGGGGATGTTAGAGTATTAATACTAAGAGTAATTTAGACATTTTCTTTATGTTGTGTTGTCCTACTATATAAGACTTACTCTGTGTATTTCTAGGTTAGTAATGTGTATTACGGACTTACTTTTAGTCAAATATATTTTCTCTTTCTCTTCTCCATGACCAATTTTGTCACATGCAACTAGAGATTAGTCATCACTATCTGTTATGATCCACTGCAGATTTGAGAGGCAGTGTCAATGACCTATTCTAAGGTGGGAAACATGACACATGTCAGTTATTGAAATGTTGGATTTAAAGTACTAAAAAAGATTCTAATCTGGCAACCTACTTTCATACTCTACTTGGGTTATGACAAGTATCAGAGACTTGACATGGCGAACTACAAATGCGTCAAAACCATAGAAGTTAATTGAACTAGGAACGACTATTGGATTCCGTCAGGCATGTAGCAGATGAGTGAGTTCAGTCCCATTGATGGGAAAACGAAAGTGGGGGTCCACTCTCACTTAATTAATGCCCGGGGCCAAGCACTTATGGTCTGGCAGACATGCAGGTTTTGAATGGCCTCCATAGCCTTTGTTTCAGGTTTAGGTTTTCTTACACAGTTAGGATTGTAGCGTGCTAGCCGGAAGTCCAGTAATAAACAATTATCAATCCCTCAAAAAACCTTTCTTCCATTGTGGTTGTCTGAGACAAGGAGATTGGGTGTTAATAGATTTTTAATGAGTGGCTTGTATTATTCTAATGAGTGGATTTTTACTTAAAAGTATTAATAATGAAACTATATGAACAATGATTACTTGCTTCATGTACTTGCAATGGAAAAATATTGATACCTCCAGGGTAGTTCATTGAACTTGGTTACTCCTACTGATGAAACGAGAACAATTCTTTTCACTGATTGAGGTAGTGCTGACATGAGGTTTCTCACACCTTCCCAATCTACCAAAAAAAAGGTATACAGCTAACAGAACTGATGGAACAAAATAAAAAAAAAAACATTTGTGCACACAGAGAGACAGTTGGTATATTGTAGGCCAGCAGACTTCGAACTACATCCAGATCCGTGACAGTTTACATCTATGCCATATGCATATACAGGAATGTAGAGAAGGAATAGTATAAGATTTGGGTATTATGTGAAATAACATAGTCAAGCCTTCCTGAGGGAGGGTAGCCCAAGTAATGCACTAGAAGATAAACAAATTTCTTTTTAAGAGTACTGCATTTTGTGTTTGACCTATTATCTTTTTATCACAGTACTAGTGTGCTAGTCATGTGAGGAAGCTCATTATATTGTTAAAGTTGATAACTACACCTTGATGCTATGAGTCAGCAATATGAAAATAGTCAAGTTATGAATCCATTTAGAGCTATACTTTCTTCCTATTAGTATTTAAGCATCTTGTCAGTACAGAACTAGGTGTACTCACTAGGCTGAAACATGACCTACATTCTGTAGGCAGAAATCCCATCTCTTTTATTGCTAGGTTTGACTTTGTTTGCTGCCAGAAACTTTATGTTTTTCAAGTCAAAGTTGCTCCATTAATTACAAGAGTACTTTCGACGTGACTATTATAGAACATTCACTAGCATTCAACCCCGTGAGGGCCATCCCCTTTTCCCCCAAATCCCCTTGTTCACCCTTTACTGTCTCCCACCAATTCTTTCATAAGTTAGCGAAAAAATTGTAGGAATTATTAGATTACAAAATTTGATGTTTAAAAAATTTAAACAAGTGCTGGTTAGAGAGAGTTTATGGGTAGTAGAATATGATTGGAGGATGGGGAATTTAATAATTCAAAATTCTTAAATATTAGAAAAGTGGGAGGGAAGACTTCTCAAGCCTTTTTCCTAAGAAATTGATTGTTTTATATAAATAGTATAGATTCAAAAAGTTATGATTCTGACCTACTCTTTCTGGTGTATTATCTCCATCCCATCGCCTTGATGGAAAGGCAGTTGTACCCGTGCAGCAAATGACATGTGTGACACCCTGTAAGTCAACACTATATAAAGCTAATGAATTTGTGGACACAGCAACAACAAAGTAACATTGTAAGGTCGAGTAAGCATTTCAGATCTTCCAAGAGAAAATGAAAAGACGCGGAAAAAAGTAGAGCTATAGAAATCAGATTCACAAACCTCAAATATAGATGGATCTAGATCCTCTGGGTTTCGAGTGTCGCCTTTCCATACCTATCAATTTTCAAAAGCTCCTTTAACAACAATAATGAAATCTTGTGTAAAAAGAATTGATTTCAAAAAAAGAAAAAAAAAAATCATATTGTCATGATTAAAAAGAGGTAAAATACAAATTAGTCACCCATACCAATAGTTGAAGCATAAGCCAGCTAAAAACGGAAACACACACCTGCAATTTTTCATTGTCTTGTTCACCAAATAAAGTACTTGCTTTCTCAGGATCTCGAAGTATTAAGCATGATTTGATATTCCGGCTGAGCAATGATGCTACAACTAACTGTCCTGCATAGGGAGTAACATAGTGAAAGAAGTTTTGACAGAAAACATTAGCTATGAAGGAATGCTTAGTAAAATTGCACCAAACACTGCACCACAGGTACCACCCAAACTAAAACTAGTAAAAACCTTTTTCAAGGCAGGGAAAGAGGAACTCAATTGCTTGGTCTCCATACAAATCAAGGTTTAATACTCTTAAGTACTAATTATCTAAATACATCAATGAAACAAATAAAAACAAGAAATAATCAATTGACCTTTTCCTTCACCATCAAAGGCAAAGTCGTGGAAATTATCCATGACCACAATGGAGCAAAACGTACGAAATTATGCATAAGCACGAAGTTCTCCTTATATCCACATAAATAGGTCTAACTTGCTATCACAATATTTAATTGAATAACGTTATGCAGCCTTGAACCTAAAGATTCACACTTTTCTTTGACGTATCAATTAATTGTCCAGTTACAATAGATGGATGCACTGGGGCAGAGGCTACCCTTATACTATTCGCTTTTGATTACCACCCAGAACTGGAAGTGTGAAAAGAGAGCAAGGGAAATCAAAAAATACAAAGCCAAGAAGCAATATGATAATAATGTAATATTCTCAAGTTCCCTAGCATATTTTCGGCAGTCTGTAAAGCATAAAGGCCAAAGGTGAAAATCATAGCTCCGACTCAATTTTGAGTCAAAAAACGTGGTGAAGATGGTTGCACAAAGAACATCTGTTCAAGTTACAAAGTATACCGAGACCGAGGGCATTTCCAAAATGAGGGGGGCATTCAATCTCCTAGTACATTAACATTCATCCCCCAATGCTAGTCAGCATACATATTTTGTGGGTATATGAGGGATACCACATTCCCACCATATGCATGATGCATCCAGCGTCACTCATATTGCTTTCTGCTCCAATCATTATAGGCTTACATCATGGCTATACTTTAAGGGCGGATATATTTTTTAATCTTGGTTGCTGATGAACTAACTTTGCACATTCTGGATGAGGTTTCATGGTATATAGTATTTGCTAATAGTATAGTATTGATTCATGAGAGTACAATACAAATTAATAATAAGTTAGAAATTTGGACATATGCTTTTGAATCAAAAGAATTTGAGGAAAGTAGAAATAAAATTGCAGATAAGGAATGTAGTTCTAGTGAAATGTAGAAATCCAAATAGAGAGGTGGTTAAAATCAAAAATACCTAGAGTTATCAAATACTACTTGATATTTGAGATCTATTATCCACATGAAGGGAGATATTAAAGATGACATTAATCATAGAATTAATGTAGGATGGAGTCGAAGGACTACATGAAGGTATACATTTGATGTTTATGTGACTGCCGCATTGAACGGTACACCCTACTAAATATTCATTAGACTAGCAACATCTTGTAGTATAGGGTGTTGGGCCATTAAGTACCAACATACTCAAACCAAGACGGATGGAAATGAAAAAATTTTGGGATGGATGTGTGGTCAAACCTATTAAATATCATGAAATTAGGAGAATAGATAAAAGAGAGAAAAATAGAGAATCATTGCATTACAGCTTAATAGAAAAATGCATACAAAAGGCCCTTATATATTAGGGCAACATAAAAGAACTAAAGGACTAAACTACCCTTAAGACTAAATATTCTAGCTACTCTAACACTCTCCCTCAAACTCATGATGTGGTAGCAAAAAATATCAAGAGTTTGCCAAGAAGAAAACGAAAGCAAGTAATAGTATGCGATTTTGTGAAAAAATCTGCTAACTGCATAGTGGAAGAAAGAAAAGGAAGAGAGATAGTGCCCAGCTGAAGATGATGACGCACAAAATGACAATCAATCTCAATATGTTTTGTGCGCTCATGAAAGACTGAATTATGAGCAATTTGAATAGCACTGGTATTGTCACAATACAAAGGAGTTGGCGCAGGTAACATCACACCAAGATCAGCAAGGAGCTATTGTAACCAAATTATCTCAGCTACAGTAGATGCCATAGTACGATATTCAGCTTCAGCAGATGAACGAGAAACAACAGTTTGCTTCTAACTTTCCAAGAAATAAGAGAATCGCCGAGGAAAATACAAAAATCCGTAATGGACTTACGGTCCATAGAGTCACCAGCCCAATCAGCATCAAAATAAGCCCTAAGTTCTATAGAGGAAAAGGAGGAGAATAACAAACTCTGGTGCAGAGTACCTCGAAGATACCGAAGAATACGAAGAACCGCAACCCAGTAAATAGTGGGGGGTGAAGCAACAAATTGACTAACAACATGAACAGCACAGGATATATCCGGATGAGTGACTGTAAGATATACTAAACTCTCAACAATAGCACGATAGAGTGTAGGGTCAGACAGGGGAGTACCATCAGAAGAACAGTAACGAAAATTGAGTTCTAAAGGTGTTTCAACTGTTCGATATCTGATAAACGAGCTCGTTGAAGAACATCTTAAGCATACGGAGACTGAAAGAGAAGATATCCTTTAGGAGAGGAAGTAATCTCAATACCCAAGAAATACCCAAGCTGTCCCAAATATTTCATCTCAAAATGGTCCCGCAACTGGGTTTTCAATAAGCATATGCCAGCAATGTTATCACCCGTAATAATCATATCATCAATATATAGTAAGAGAATAATAGAAACTTGAGGAAGTAGAACGTAAAAAGAGAGCAAAATCATGGTCACTAGCACAAAAATCCAAGTCACAAATAACCGAAAAAAATTTGGCAAACCATGCCTTGAAAGCCAGTTTTAAGGTTATATAAAGCTCAGTGAAGTCGACATACTTGTCCAGGACTATGAAACAATCAAGAGGAGGAGTCATAAAAACCTCTTCACTTAAATCTCCATGAAGAAATATATTTTTCACATCCATCTGAGACAAATTCCATTGGCGAATAGTAGCAACTGCAATCACAGTGCAAACAGTAGTCATCTTCGCAACAGGGGCAAAAGTCTCATCATAGTCTATACCATACTCCTGAGCAAAACCCTTGACTACTAATCGAGCTTTATACTGTTCCACAGAACCATCAGACTTGATTTTTTATCTTATAAACCCACCTACAAC